TCACCTGTGTGAGTCGTATTTTCTGGATGTTTCCTTTTGGGTATTTGGTTGTTGGATGCTTCATTTTGATGCCTCATAAGCCAGATTTTCTTTGGCATATCTCTTACACCTGTTTGTTCCCTACTCGCTTCTTGAATTGGTAAGTTCAATGACCTTGCATCTTCATGATCAGTTTCGCTGAGTTTCGCTTGTCCCCACTGACTTCTGCTATTGATGCATCTGGTGGTTCAGTCCGTCCACCACACACTCTTGATATTGTTAAATCCAGTGGTTCTGTTTGTAGCTCCTCAAATCATATAAAATTATGAGCCTCTTATGCTGCGCTAAAATCTTGATATATTTTAGCTCTACTTCTACTTTAAATGAACTTACGATAGCTTGAGTGTTGCACAGATGGAAAATGAAGAAGATGAAACAGTTGAAATGCATATTGATAAGAGTAATATCTTGCCAATTCTGAAAAATAGTATTCAAATTTAGCAGTGCACTAAAGAGCGGTTGCATATAAGAAATAACACCGCCTGCTGTTTGATAATTGTGCAAAACGAGTATATACTTTTCCAAATATATTAGCACTGAAAAGAGATCGGTACGCATTCATTGCAGGTACGCATTCATTACAAACATCTTCCATTCAAGCATCTGACACAACAACCTTTTCATATTGGACATTGGCACAAGTTTTTCAAAGCAGATTTCATGGAAACTTACATGGTTATAAATTTGATAAACAGATAATTCTGTTTAAAAAAGAGAGAGTGCTTATCTTGGAGGCTTGCAATTGTAGGAAGCGAAACATCGAAAAACAGCCGACATTTTCTGTCGAAATACATGAAATAAAACTAACTAAATGAAATTTCACGGAAGATAGATTGACAACACCACCGGATCACTTCTGTTAGGTAATGGTAGGAGATGGGGTCTATAAATATCAATTTTGATGGGAGTGGCTAGCGCGTATATCGATAACCTATGGTAATGTAATAATAGAAATCACTTTTAATCCTTTATACTTTAATCTTTTTTGAATAATTTCATTTCAGCTGTCATACTGCATTGTGAAAAATAATTTATGCAAAGCTGTTGCAAAATTTTCCCCAATTTTATTACCTTTCGCTTCAATTCCTTTTTCCGGAAACTATTATTGGCAATTAGCATTCTTAAAAGACGAAATATGTAACTGAAAAATGTCCACAAAATCCATTTTTTCTATTTTTTTAAAATATACTACCGATATGATAACCTCATACTTGTTGAAAAATGTTCCAAATGCAAATCACTTTCTGTTAGGCCTAGAAAAAAAGTTTTACGATATACTTATAGAAAATACGACAAAATTGCAATACGTATATTGGTTCAAAATGCGTCTATCAGCCATCAAGACAATTTCCACAGAATTTCCACATTCCTACCGCATACAGTTCAATTGAACCTGGCCTATATTGTCATGAATCATGAATCGTGTTGTCTCATATTCCTTGATTGGGAGCTTTTGTTGAATTTCACTTCTGTGAATTTGCTTAGGGATATACAGACCCGGTGACTGGGTGAAACCCTTCCCACATTCCAGACAAGAATACGGTTTCTACCGGTATGAATCCGCTTATGTGTATTCATACCCCATGGATGAGTGAAATTCATCCCACATTCCAGACAACAGTGCGGCTTCTCACCGGTATGAATTTTCTTATGCATATTCAGAAGCGATGGCCAGATAAAACTCATGTTGCATTCCGGCCAGATGATACTCATGTTGCATCTCCTAAGATATATTTGATTTTGATTTATTAATAGCTTGTCGTCATCAATTTCATGCTACAAGCATTTGTCATTCGTTTTTTCTTTTTTTATGAATAATAAATTCATCATTTTTAATTTCAAAATCGATAAATTTACAATTTCTACCGAAATTTCGCAATTTATGTTTTCTCTTTTTTTCCCATGCTTTTTTCTCTTTTTTTTGGATTTTAGTATTTGCTGTTCATATCGCAATAATGGAAATGGAATTGAAGAAAGAAAAAATGTTTGTAATTGTGTTTATCGTTTCCTCAGCGAAGGGAAAATGTTATGATGTTGTAAGCAGTCATTTCATATTTTGTAAACAAGTTATAATTTACGTAAACAAATAAACAAGTTGCCAATGTTTAAAAAGCAAAGGATAAATACATCTGCTATTTACAACTGGACATATAGATAACCAAAAATGTAAATTTCTCAGAATTATATGGATCATCGTCTTTCTTCTCATTTGGACAAATTAATTACGACATCATAATTATGTACATTATATAAGCCTAGAAATAACTGTTTGCTTTCTCATAATCAAGCCAGCAATCTGTTTGTATCTCTATTTTAAAATGGGCGATTAGTCTTTTATCGATTAAATTAATTAATTAACGCAAGGACTTCATATATGTCTTGGAAAAGAATTATTAGACCTCTGCAATCTTTCGCAACTAAAGTGCCATCTAATGGAAAATGCCATGGTTTGAAATACTGAGTATTATTCATTTACCTTGAAAATTTTAAAATATTTAAAAATTTTTCATGTCTTTTTTCAAAGCAATGAAAGCAGACAAAAGGTGTCATGAAATTTGGAATAATTTATTTGAAGATTCATTTGAATTTGTAGAACTTCGAAAGCTGGTATATTAATGTTATTAGTATTTATTTATTCATTCATTTATTCATTTATTTATTTAATTATTTATTATTATTTTTATTATTATAATATTATTACAATGATAACAAAAACAGCAACAAAAATAACCGCAATAGCAATAATGTAATAGCAGCAACAATAAAAATGACAACAACAGCAACAATAACATTGACAGCAAGAGTAGTAACAATGACAGCAACAATAATATCAACAGTAACAATAACAATGATAGCAATAAAAATAACAACAACAACAACAATAACAATAAAAGCAACAAGAGAGAAAAACACAACAAATAACAAAATTTTTTTATTTGCCTTTATACCGAAATTTATTAATCATTTTGTTATTTGTATTTTCACTTTTAAAATGAAACAAGGAAAACTGAGTAAAATTCAGGTAAAAGAATTATTTCAGATTTAAAACTAACTTTGGGCAAAATACAGAATCATTTTCCTGATGGAAAAATTTTTTTTTCTTTTCACATGCACATGAAAGTAACATGTTTCGTAAAAATTCAATTTTACACCTTTCGAAATTTTCACTTGTGAAAATTTTTCCTCCAATAATTTTATTTAAAATTTCAGCAGTTTAAATTTCAAAAAATATTTCGGCAAAATGAATTGTCATTGAAATTTCAACCATATTACGCCAAATAGTTTGCATTAAAACTATAAAAGTTGGATTTCAATATTTAGTCTTTTTTTTGACATTTTTTTATCAAAGGATATTATTTCAATAAAAACTGTTATTCCTATTATTCCTGTTTCGGATTACAAACGATTCGAATTATTTAATTCGATCCACGTTTAATTATTGCAAAATTAAATAATGCAAATAAAATCGAAAGCAGAGAAAGATAAATAAATTTTGAAAAGAAAGATGAGAAATGGAAAATTTTTGGAACAATAATACATGTGTACAAATACTGCTAAAATTTCTTTCTATCCTCTAAGAATTATTATTTTATTCATTTTTTAGTTAATAGTTTAGTCTTGCGACAATTTACAAATTGAGCACAAAATGTGGTCAAAAATTCATATTCTAGATTAGCTAAACAAACAGATTAGCCAAGCTAAGCTAAGCTTCGTCCCTTTTTTTCCGTTTTTTTTTTTTTCTGGCTTCATATTCATTTGTTTCTTTTAATTATTCCTTACTGCACTGTTTGATAGGTTAAAAAAAAAAGAATTAGGCATAAATATAATCTGAAATGTAGATAGAAAAAGATGATTTCAATCATTGCAATCATTAACATTAATGCAAATGCATTAGAAGGAAAAGTAATAAGAACGAATGATTTGGCTAAAATAGTTTTGGGCCAAGTGGAATTATTGGAATTATTTAGTAAGCCAAGTAGTAAGACGGAAAAGTAGAATGGTTTAAAATGGTCCAATAGTAGCAAATAATCTTTTGTTTAAAATCTTTTTTTTGTTTATCGATTTAAAAAATCACAATTTTATGAATAAAATATGTAAAATAAAAATGAAAAAAATTTCCCAAAAAAAAAAAGTGAACAACACTTAAGGCATTGATTAATTTTCAATTATCATTTAGTTTTCAATAATTTCAATTGCTAAATGATTATTAAATAATGAATTAATTTTTATTTCTCTACGCCTTCTCACTCTTTTCCCGAATAATTTCCTTTGTTCTTGTTTTTTGTTTTTTTTTCTAATTTTAGGAAAAAAAGCACTCTTTGGTTGTTTAGAAAATTCCAATGGTGATGAAAAATTGTTTAAAATCAATATCTTCCTTTCTTTTTTTCGCATTTCTTTTATTTTAAATGCTCAAAAACGTTTTATAACGATTAATCAATAACAGTAATAATAATAATAATAATAATAATAATAATAATAATAATAATAATATAATAATAATAATAATAATAATAATAATAATAATAATAATAATAATAATAATAATAATAATAATAATAATAATAATAATAATAAT